TTTTTTTTTTTTTAATTTATTGTAGAGATGAGGTCTTGCTGCCCAGTCGGGTCTCGAACCCGCAGGCTCAGGCAATCCACTCACCTCAGCCTTCCAAGGGCGTGGGATTACAGGCTGAGCCACCGAGCCCGTCTTATTTTTACATACTTATATATCTTACTGTTGTTACTACTACCCATATTTGGGGGAAGCAATTTTAAAGATGGATTCATCTTACCTATGATTTGCATTTTTATTTATGATAGCCCCATACTGGAAACAGCCCAAATATCCATCAAAAGACAAACAGACAATACTGTGTCATGTATTTATATGATGGAATACTACCTCAGCAATAAAAAGAAAAAAAACTACTGTTACATAGTAACAATAGGAATGAATCTCAAACATTCTGCAGAGTATAAGCTTCATGCAAAAGAGTACATATTATAAAATCTCACTATGTGTAGGTCTAGAACACTGTATTGGTAAGTAGCGTTACATTGCCTTCTTAACGAACATTAAATACTTCCAGGTACACTCTTCTGTCCAAATTTTCCTAAAGCCTTCACAAAGTCTTTCTGCTCTTTAGTGTCTCATTTGTCTGAAATTAAAATATAACTATGGCCTAGACTAGCCATTTCAATAAATATTCTAACAACCTGGTATTTTAGCATGATTATTCCATGTAAAATGCTCAATTTGACAATATTGCTTTCCCAACTAAAACTTATGTTCTTGTGGGTCAATATTTTATTGACTATCTTCTCTGAGTCTTCTGAGTATACATTAACACACTGTTATCTGAGGTGAGGAATGTGATTGTGGAAGGTATACCTAAAAAGAACTTACCAGCATATGATTCCTTAATGGATAAGAAAGATGTTTTCTTTGTATGGCACCAAAAACAATCAGTGAGGTAACTACTAAATACCTAACCTCTGTTGCAAGCTACAGTAAGGAAAAGTAAAAGAGAGGGCCTTATTAAGGAGGAATTATTAATCAAATGGAGAAAGGAGACTCAGATAAAACAATGTTGAATTAGGTATCAGAGTATTAGATTATACCAGAGGATGTATCTGTTCTTATGTTACGGACATTAAGTAGAATGAAAATGCAGGAAAAAAAAAAAGGACATTATCTACTGGAGGAACCTCAAAAAAACCCCCAGAATTTATGTATAAAAAATTGTGTATCCTCATATGTTTAAACTTCAGCCACCTTCAACATACTCTCTGATGCAATATACCTATCAAGATGCCTTTTCCACTGCTCAATTTTCAACTCATCAATTTGATGCCTGTTAGTATTTCTGCCGTTTTTTGTTTCACCTCTTACACATCAACAAAACGTTTCTCTTTGAGGGTTTTCATCTGGTGGAACAAAAAAAGCCTCTTGGGGTGACACTGGGTGAATGGGCGGGGGGGGGGGAAGTAGGATGCAGGGGTCATGCCATTTGGGGTAAAAGATACACCACACACTCAGTGTGGTGTGGACAGGTGCACTTGTAAATCGCCCATCATGAAATGGGTGAATGTGTTAAATCTCCAAAAAAAAAGAAAATCACTGAAGCTGAATGCAGCGCTTTCACAACAGTGCTAGCTGGTACACTGATGCTGATGGGTTCTTAGAACACTTACCTAGTTGGGGGAAGCCTGTACTACAAGGGGCTCATCCTCCAAAAAATAATTCTGGATTTTTTTGGGTATCCCTTGTATAGGAGTCAAATAATATTTTATGGAGGAAATAAAATTTGTTCTTTGAACTTAAGGATATATAGTATTGTGTGGTAAAGAATTTAACTTTGCCCAAGGAGAGGTGTGACTTTTGACTTTGGCTTTAGGGAGGTAATCCTTAAGTCCTTGGAACTTCATGGCTAATAGGAAATTGTCTGCCTGGAAACCCTTTGGCCAGGCAGCTAGTAACGATGTGATTTAGCGTGGGGGCTTTGGGTTATGCAGTATCAGCTCAACCTCCGAAGGGGCTAGAAACGGAGTTCAGCCACATGGGCAGTAAATCATGCCTATTTGATGGAGCCCCAGTAAAAATCTGGACACTGAGGCTTGGCTGAGCTTTCATGGTTGGCAACACTCTGTACATATCCTCTTACATTGTTGCTAGGAATGCTATCCATGTCCTCTCTCCAGAGAGGACAACTAGAAGTTGCATGTTTGGTACTTTCCTGGAATCTGCACTGTGTCTTTTTTCTGTTGGCTGATGTTAACCTTTCCTTGTAACAAACTATAACTGTGAAAGCAGCTTTCAGGGAGCTCTGTGAGTCTTTTTAGCAAATTATCAAGCCTAAGGGTGGTCTTGGGGATCCCTGAACTTACAGCTGGTGTCAGAAGTGAAGGTAGTCTTGTGTAGAATACTGTACCCTCTAACTCCATAGTTGCTTTACTTCATAAGTATCTATATAGAACATACCCATTATATGAGTATCTTTCATCTAATGAAAGGTCCAACTGTAAGAAATAAAACCAACAATTATAGTTGTCCCTCATTATCCACGAGAATAGGTTCCAGGACTCCTCCCAACCCCCAAGGATACCAAAATTTGAAGATGCTCAAGTCTCTCATATAAAATGTCATAGTACTTGCATATACTATGACATTTTATATGAGAGACTTGAGCATCTTCAAATTTACATAGCATTTATATGTCCTTCTGTATTCTTAAAATCATCTCTAGTTTGCTTATAATGCCTAATAAAATATAAATGCTATGTAAATCACTGTTATATCATATTGATCTTTATGTATATTATTTTCTATTTACACATATTTTAAAATTTTTTGAATATTTTAAATCTGCAGTTGATGGAATCTGTGGATGTAAACCTGTAGATATAGAGCTCTAACTGTATATGGAGGATATATAGGAAACTTGAACAAATAGATATCACCAAAGGTTCTCAGAAAGAAATACATTTGAAATGAGCAAATGGGGTACTATTCTGTCAGTTCTTGAAAAAGGAGGGATTTAAATTTCACATAATAAGTGATATCTTTTTAGCATATTAACATAATAAAGAGAAAAACTGGAGAAAAATCATGGTAAATAACAAAAAGTAATTACAGCAGTCCATACCTGAAATTATATGGCTCTCATTTTGGAAGATGTCAATAACAAATGAGAACATGAGAATGTCAAGATATTTTACAGAATGAGATAACATAAATTGTGGAGATATCATTAAGAAGTATAACTCAGATGATGAATCAATCTGACACTACTAGGGTTGATTATGGGAACAAAAGAATACAGAAACAAATAATGATAAGCAAGTAAGATTATGGGAACAAAAGAATAAACAGACAAGAGTAAACATAACAATTATTATTTCTGATATATTGATAACCAAAAGTATAAGATAACTGACAGTTATATTCCTATTGGCAGATAAAAATATACCATTGGAGTTCATGTGGACGAAATGGACTGAAATATCTATTTGAAAGCCATTCACATAAAAGAAGGAAATGACAACTTGAGAATGGATTAGATTATTATTGCTTGCAGACCAAGAACTGAGAGTGAAGAAAGATCTTTTAAGGATATATAAGAAAGACACCAATGAAAGGCCTAATGAATCCAGATTCATTTATTCAACAAATATTTATTATCCCACATACTCAGAAAAAAAAAGTTTCACTTAAGGCTGTTCTTGATAGAGCAGGAAAAAAAAAATCATGAATTAATTTCCATCCTTGAATACATATCTTTTCAATATTCTGTGTGATGATTAAAGTATGCATAAAGCACTTCTGCTGC